ATAGAAAGATGTAATTGAGAGAATAAGAGGAAAATCCACAAACTAGGAAAAAATCTGCAGTGCATATATCTGGAAAAATGTATGTCTGGGTACAAAGGATTTGTATCCAGAATATATTCAGAATTCCTAGAGCTCAATGGTAAAAAGACAACCCAATTTAAAAAATAGGCAAAAGACTTAGATACTTTAAAACTATACAAATGGCAAATTAGCATATAAAAATGTGCTCAGCATCTTCAGTCATCTGAGAAATTTATATTAAAACCATAATGAGATGACATTACATCCCAAAATAGCTAAAAATGGAAAAAGACTGACAATATTGACAAGGATGTGGAGAAACTGAAACTCTCATATATTGTTGGCAGGAGGGGCCCAACCATTTTGAAAAATTGTCAGTTCCTTATAATATTAAACATAAACCTACCTTTAACCCAGCAATTGCATTCCTGGGGATTACAAAAGAGAAATGGAAACACATCCCCAAGAAGACTTGTATGTGAATGCTTGGATCAGGTATATTCATAATTAACCCAAACTGGAAACAACACAAATGTTCATCAGCAAGAGACTGGACAAATTGTGGAATATTCGTAGATGGAAAACTAGTCAGTTGTAAAAAATAATGAAACACTCGTATATAAAATGACACGGATGCCTTATTTGCATGAAAGAAGGTGGACACAGAAGAGAACGTACTGTACGATTCCATTTATGCAAGTTCACGAAGAGGCAAAGCGAAGCTAATGGATGGTGAGGAAAAGAGAATGTGGTTTCTTCTGTGGGGGAGGACTCCTTGAAAGGGGTAAGGAGGGCATTTTCTGCGGTGAATGGGAACATTCTATAACCTTAATTGGCATGATGTTTTCACAGATAGATAATTGACCAGGCTAATGCATTTAAGCTCTGTGCACTTCACTGTATGTCAGGTTTAATAATAATAATAATAAAGATAATGTCTGATGTTGGGACAGAGTGGAAGCAGGGAGGCCAGCTGAGAGGCTGTTGCGCTAGTCCAGGCACACGATGGTGGTGGGAGATGTAAGAAGTGGTCAGATTTGGGTTCTCTTTTGTAGGGAGGGTCAGGACTTATTGGCCCACTAGCAAGAGTCTCATTGAGAGCAGGCCTCACATGGCTGAATCCTCAAAGCCCGTTTGTTAATTTTATTTGTGCATTTCAATCTGACTCCTCTTTCTGAAATAATTTGAGGCTATTATAACAAAGGGGATGTATTCAGTAAGACTGAGAAGACATAACTAAAATAGAAAATTGAAACCAGAAGACAGAAGAGCAGTTTGAGGACTGATAGTAGGAAAGTATGATCGGGGACCTCTTTCTGCCCAGTTCCCTTGGCTGGGCACCTAATGGGGGCTGCCAAAGGGATGCCAGGGGAGTGGTCTTTTAATATCAGAGGGAAGGCAGCTCAGATTATAGACACTTCAGCAGTGCTGGATCAAGTTGAGTTTAGTTGAAGAAGATAGGCTTTTGAAACCAAAAATCAAATCGAATTTGATTATGTAACAGAGTACTACATCACAAAGGTGTGATACATTAAGTGGTCCACAAAGAAATGGGGGCTATTTTAGGGAAAACTACCTTCCTTCTGTTTGAGATTGAATTTATCAAGCAGAGGTATGAATAGCAGGGGGTATAGTTTAGGACCAAATGCAAGGCTGGATATACTCTCTACACATTTATGGGAGCATTATCATGTAAAACTACTACAAACTAACCTTCTGATATGGGAATTGAGTTTGGTTTAAATCTATCAAGTCTAAAAAGATGGCAGCCAGCGATACCCTAGAAATACTGTAAAAATGTATGCCAAAAAACACATTGATTACTGACTGATCATTATCAGTATAGACAATTCATTATGTTGCCAATGGAATGAGAGGGAACCTTGTCAATATTACACATTCTTAGATTAAGAACAATGAATGGATCAGAAGTGAAAGAATGGAAGAAAAAAGAGAATTAATGTGTGGAGAAGATGTTAAAATACGTGATAGTAAGGCAGTCAGTTAAACCAAGCCTAGTCTTAGTTCTGGAACATTTGCTTGAATCCTTGACATGGACCAGTCCGAATGAATGCTTAAATCAGCATTGGAGGGTTAATGGCTAACTCCTGTTGGCATTGCCTGTTGGGTCCAGTAGCCAAGATCAATGCCTTGTGCAGACTCTGGGGAAGGAAAATAATCATGGACAATTTATAATGCTCCAAGATTGCCAAATTTGGAGTTAAGTCTTTAGCAAACATGATTGTGATTTACTTCAAACTGGTGAGTAAAAATGACCACAGTTGGATATCACTGATGATAAAGTCATACTCCTACATCAAGAGTGTGAATGGAGAAAATGAACTATGACAAAAACTAAAAGCAGTTGGAGATTCTGAGGGACTGACTTCTGGTGGTTTAGGTGTGCCTGCGGCAGAGCCGATGACTGACAGTGAGGAAGGGTTGTTGTGATGATGTGGGGTGGGGTTACTCTCAGGAACATCACTTGGGTACCAGGACATATTGATGTCAGGTGCTCTCTGGGACAAGGCTGGTGGTACAAAATAGGGGTGGACCAGTGATAAAGCCTGGGCTGTCCAGAGCCCTGGGGCTTCCTCTAGAATTACAATGAAGGGCAGCAAGGGGTGGGGGTGAGACCTCTATATGCGGAATCTGAATATGTGATTTCTGCCTTTGCTCTACACTTAAAGATGGCCCTGATTGGACCTCCCTGAACCTAGATTTTTCCCTGTGTTATAACCCGTCCTATTTAGCCTCTCATGGAGGGTTGTTGAGAGGATCTGCAGTACAGAGGACACGGGGCCCTCCAAGAAAGTCCACAAATATCTGCTACAGTTGTTTTTTATTATTTGCTGTAACTCTCCAGTGTAAAACAAAGCTGGAGCCATGCAATGGCTCATGCTCAGGCCTAGAGATATTTTAGGAAATAATCAATACAAGATGCACTGGGTTGGAGCCACGGTAACAGTCATAAATCTTGACAGTCCACTGTTTGATAAAATTAATGCTTGAGAGAAACACTGCAGAAGTCTATGGGAGGGGAAAACAGTGTGTTCTGGGAGAGAGCTTAAGCCAGGGTTGAAACAGAGTCATCCAGGAAGGGTGGTTATCATCCCACCGCTGGTGGGTCAGTTTATATGCACACGTGCACACACGCACACGGGCAACAGGCACCAGCTTTGTTGGCTGGGTCTCAGAAGAGAATGGCGAACAAGAAAGATAAGCATTGATTCCAACAAATGGATAATTACAATTTGTGTACCTAGGGGCCCACCACCTCTTAAGGAAATGCCACCTGCCTCTGAATTTTTAAAATAGAGCAGTGACAGTGTTTTGCCCCGTCTATTTTCTCTGGTGGAGAAAAGTAGGCTCACGGAGCTTTGGGATTTGTGGCTGTTGGAGACGGTGAGAGAAGAGGGCAACGAAGGGCAGCCGGACGTCATGTTTTTTAAGTGATCATGGCACTGAGGTGGTCTGTGGTTAGAAAGGGAAGGAAATAGGAACATCACTTGGGTACCAGGACATATTGATGTCAGGTGCTCTCTGGGACAAGGCTGGTGGTACAAAATAGGGGTGGACCAGTGATAAAGCCTGGGCTGTCCAGAGCCCTGGGGCTTCCTCTAGAATTACAATGAAGGGCAGCAAGGGGTGGGGGTGAGACCTCTATATGCGGAATCTGAATATGTGATTTCTGCCTTTGCTCTACACTTAAAGATGGCCCTGATTGGACCTCCCTGAACCTAGATTTTTCCCTGTGTTATAACCCGTCCTATTTAGCCTCTCATGGAGGGTTGTTGAGAGGATCTGCAGTACAGAGGACACGGGGCCCTCCAAGAAAGTCCACAAATATCTGCTACAGTTGTTTTTTATTATTTGCTGTAACTCTCCAGTGTAAAACAAAGCTGGAGCCATGCAATGGCTCATGCTCAGGCCTAGAGATATTTTAGGAAATAATCAATACAAGATGCACTGGGTTGGAGCCACGGTAACAGTCATAAATCTTGACAGTCCACTGTTTGATAAAATTAATGCTTGAGAGAAACACTGCAGAAGTCTATGGGAGGGGAAAACAGTGTGTTCTGGGAGAGAGCTTAAGCCAGGGTTGAAACAGAGTCATCCAGGAAGGGTGGTTATCATCCCACCGCTGGTGGGTCAGTTTATATGCACACGTGCACACACGCACACGGGCAACAGGCACCAGCTTTGTTGGCTGGGTCTCAGAAGAGAATGGCGAACAAGAAAGATAAGCATTGATTCCAACAAATGGATAATTACAATTTGTGTACCTAGGGGCCCACCACCTCTTAAGGAAATGCCACCTGCCTCTGAATTTTTAAAATAGAGCAGTGACAGTGTTTTGCCCCATCTATTTTCTCTGGTGGAGAAAAGTAGGCTCACGGAGCTTTGGGATTTGTGGCTGTTGGAGACGGTGAGAGAAGAGGGCAACGAAGGGCAGCCGGACGTCATGTTTTTTAAGTGATCATGGCACTGAGGTGGTCTGTGGTTAGAAAGGGAAGGAAAGAATATTGCTTTTCCTATATCCAAAGTGTTACCACACTTTCCGAATCCTGTCTTCACATTAAGGTGGCCACCTGTTCTGGGGCCAGGTGTGCGCTGCTGTCGCACAGCAGAACCCAGACTCGTGGGAGCATCGTGCTCCAGGGAGGGAGGAACAAACTTGGTTAGGGCCACGTGAGGCCAGGCGGGAGTCTGCCTGGGGCCTGGCCTCCGAGCTGGTGTAGCCGACTTTACTGTGTCAGAATAGTCTGTGAAGGCTTCACTTGTGGTCAGATTGAACAAGGATGAAAACATTTAGGCTGTGTCAGTAGGGTGATGGGATTGTTTTTAATTTAAAAATTGCTTTTATTCTGATTTTTAATTTTAAAACTAATATACACTTATTATGAAAAAACATTAATCTGAAAGGTCTGAAAACCATAAGGAAACGTTGACATTGGGTCTGTTGTGTTTTCAGGCAGAGGAAACAAAGAATTTTGTCAGCTGAAGTCTTGTTGTGGGAAAAGTTCTCTCCACAGTGGACATGGCCACAGGAGTCCAGGTGAGATGTTCTGGGACCTCCGCCCTTTAGAAACAGATGCTTAGCTTTGAATGTAAAGGCATAAAAATAACCCTGCAGCCGTCAGTCTCTTTACTGGGATAGATGTTTGTAAAATGATACACCTTACAATCCACCCCCCTGACTGCCTCTTTGACCATTATATTCAATTCTGTATTTGTTTTCTCTTTGTTTTTCTTTTTTGTTGAGTTTTAGTTCATTTCTGTCAATCATTTATTTTTGTTTTATTTTTATAAAAACAATATAATTGTGATTTACTTTCTTCACTGAAATATTATCACTAGGATTGATCTGTACTGCTGCATGCCTCTGCATTCACATTTAAAAAAATTCTTTTTGTTTTGAACTAATAGTGTTCACAGAAGTTACAAAAATAATACATGAAGAGCGATGTGACCTCTTCATCATGCGAAGTTTCCCTCAGTGGCACCATCTTATTTAGCTGAAATGCAATATAAAACCAGGATATCAACATCAGTACAGTGCTGTTAACTAGATTTCATCAGGTTTTACATGCACTCAGTTGTATGTGTGTATACACACACATGTGCTTATAGTTCTGTGCAGTTTGGTCCCATATATAGATTTGTGTAACTACCATCACAATCAAGATGTAGAACTGTTTCATCATCACAAAGAACTTACCGTGCTATCCATTTGCAGTTGCACCCAGCCTCCACCCACCCCTATCCTTTGACAACCGCTATTTTCCATCTCTATAGTTTTGCCATTTGGGGTTAAAATGGCATGGCTCTGGGGTCTTGCTCTGTGTGTCCCAGCTCACCAAGGCTGGTAAACCAAATGGCTTGGAGGGTGTGACTGCCACAGCCCCTCATGGTACCCTAAGTCTCCCAGCACAGGGCCATTCTTGTGGCCCTGCATATTCTCTTTTCTGTCCCTAGATACCTCTGGGTGTCAAAATAAGTTCCTGCATCCAGCCCCTAAAGGGGAGGAATAGTAACTAGAACACAAAGAGAGAATGATCAGACAGAAAGCCAGGTCAATTGTCGGTGAGTCCAAAGTGGCAGGTATTTCTGCTCTGTGTCATAGATATTTAAAAATGGGTAAGAATTAAAAACAAAGAAATCCATGAGTGCCATTTGTGGTGAGGACACCCACCACTAGGTCCCTTAGGGGAGACTGGCTTCCCTGTGATTCAGCCAGGCAGGGTCTCCTCCTTCTGGGATGGGTTTCTGAGAAGAAATTCAGCTGCAATGCAGCAAATAGATCCTCCTTTCAGAAATACCGATGATCCTGGTCTAGACTCTTGATCCTCAGTTTGGGCTTTTACTGTAGTGCCCCTGCCTGCCTTCTCTTCAGCAAGCCTCGGGTAGGCTGGGACATGGGGAAATCCCCACAGCGGGTTCCAGCACGCTGGGTGGGGAGCCCTATCCTCTGCATCTCCAGGGTTTTGCACTAAACCTAGTGTGCAGAGTGTTTGTTTGAATGAATGTTTGCTTGTTTGAAGGGATTTCAAATGTTTGAAATGTTTGAAATCTCCAATGTTTGTTTTTTTGAATGAAGAGTGTTTGTTTGAAGGGAATGTGTGAATGGATGAGGGAGGAGCAGCCTGCAGTTTGAAGCCAAGTTAAGAAACATTTCAACCAATTGCAATGTGTGGACATTATTTAGATCCTGGTCCAAACAACAGACTAAAGAAAAATTGTATGTGAGCTGTGGACATTCAAACATTGGTTATTTGGTAATTAAAGAATTATATTTTTAAGTGGGACAATGGTTTTAGGGTTATGTTTTAAAAAAGAGTCTTTATATTTTACAGATGTATAGAAAATATTTAGGGATTAGATGACAGGATGACTGGGATAAGCTTCGAGATTACCCAGGGCATAGAATGGGAAAGTGGACTGAGGGAAAAATGAAATGAAATGGAGCTGGCCCTCCTTGAGTTCATTATACCCTTCTTTTTGCTTGAAATTTTCCACAATAGAAAGCTATTAAAAAGGTCTTGCTCCTGAGTATCCTAGAAGAACATTTGAGTAGATTTAAAGAGAAACAGATCTTTAAAAATGCTTTCCTGCTCATGTCATGGCTGTGCCTAAAACCCCTTCCACTCTGCTTTAGAGAAACCCTCCCATCCTTGACGTGGGCTTGGGTCCTTGGTGGGCTGGGCCTACCCACTTCTCTGTATAGCTTCTGCACCCCTTTGTCCTCCTCCCTGGGGGACACCCCCATACTGGCCACCTTTTGGTTCCTCTTATCCACCTTCGGACCCCTCTTGCCGCCTCCCCAGAATGGTCTTTCCCCTCCTTCACCTGCCTGACACCTGCTCATTCTTCAGGTCCCAGCCCCGCTGGCCTCAGGGAGGCCTCCCTCAATCCTGCAGCTTAAATCCCATCTATGTGTTGTCATCTTCTTTGTATCTTACAGTTTTCTGTCATACAAGTAACCCATTTTGAGTCTGTATTTTTTTATGTCTGATTTCTGTATGTCTGTTAGCACCACTAGGGGGCAAACTCCTTGATGACTGTCACCCCTTCTGCTCTTGTTATACTGTCAGTACATGAGTATTAAGTGAATACATAGAATTATGACAGTATGGCTGTTACTCAAAAGATTACATGTGGAATTACCATATGACCCAGCAATAGCTCTACTAGGCATATACCCCAAAGAACTGGAAACAGAGACTCAGACAGATACTTGTAGGCCAATATTCCTTGAGCCTTGTTCCCAATAGCTAAAAGATGGAAACCAGCATCCATCAAGAGATGAATGGATAAAAAAATGTGATATATATGCATGATAGAGTATTAATCAGCTGTAAAAAGGAATACACTTCCAGTTACATGTTATGACCTGGATAAGTGAAATAAGCCAGACACAAAAAGACAATTATTGTATGATTCCATTTATATGAAATTTCTAGAATAGGCAAATTCATAGAGACAAAATAGATTATGGGTTAGCAGATGCTGGGGGAAAAGGAGAAAGAGAGTCATCACTTGCTGGCTACTTTGTGGTGAAGAAAGAGTTTTAGGAATAGGTGGTGATGATGGTTGTACAACACAGTGAATGTACTTAATACCACTGATTTAAACACTTAAAAATGGCTAAAATGGCAAACTTTATGTTATATATGTTGTACCAACACTTAAAAAAACCTAGAAATTTAACAAAAATTATTAGTCCTGTTTGCATTCCCGCACATCAGTCATTGTGGAGATTTTTTTTTCTCATGTGTAGATATCCTAGAGGGTTAGAGGAATGTGTAGATTGTGTCCGAGTCTAGCCCAGGGGGGCTGTGGCTGTCTTTCCTGTTGGCGCTGGTGGAAGGTGTCTGGGGTTGGGGGGATGTGGGTGTGGCATGCTGGGAACAGTTCCTGCGCGCTCTGGGTTGGTCAGGGCATCCCCAGATCTTGCTGCCAGCCAAAGAAGAGCTGGTGGCCTCTGCCAGCTTTCCTCTCCCACCTTCACCTGAGCAGGCTGTCAGCCTGCGGAGGGACACCAGCGTCGATCCGTCCAAGCCATCTGGGCTCCGCAGGCCTGGGCCCCTTTCCTCTCAGCCTGCGGGTTGGTGTTACACAAGGCGTGGGACACACAGTCGTGGTCACCCAGCCGAGCGCTGGCAGGGCCGGGGGCTGGCACTGAGGGGCTCACAGCGAGCGGACAGGGAGAGAGGTGCCAGGCAGAGGCCTTCTTTCCCGAGGGCTCCGGAGCCGGCCCCACTTCTGCTTGGGAGGCAGTCCAAGGCCTTCTGCGGAAAGCGCTGATGCAATCTGGAAGGACTCTGAGGCTGAAGGAAACGTGAAGTGCTTCCCTTTCTTCTTCCCCAGGACTGTTCCCTTCTTGCCTTATTCGAACCATCATCTTCCTCGCTGTCTTAGTTTGCTTAGGCTGCCATGATAAATGCCGCAGACTGGATGGCTTCAACAACAGAACTGTATTTTCCCACCATTTTGGAGGCTGGACGTCCAGATCAAGGGGCCAACAATCTGTTCCTGGGGAGGGCCCCTCTTCCTGCACATGGCTGCCTTCTCACTGTGTCCTCACAGGGGTGCTGTGGACAGAGAAAGACAGAGAGAATGCAAGCTCTCTAGTATCTCTTCCAAGGGCACTAATCCCGTTGTGAGGACCCACCCTTAGGGCCTCACTTAAACTTAATTCCCAAAGGCCTCAAACCTTGATGCCGTCACACCTGGGGTTAAGGCTTTAGCATATGAATTTGTGGGGGACACCGCTCAGTCCTTGCCAGTATCCTTCCTGGGGTCACCATTGTCTCAAAAGACACCTACAGTACCTCAGTGTATCCCATTTGCTCTTGGGGTGATAAGAACCCGAATGCCCTGGAAGGTTCTTTAGGAGACCTGCTGTAGGACTATTGTGTAGGAAGGGCCTGGCCTTCCTGGCACACACGACAGACCTCACTGGTCCAGTGCAGCAGGGAGACAGAATGATGTGTGTTCTCCTTCTGCCTCTAGGACTTCTCAGTCACAGTTCCAGCATGTTCCCTCTACATTGAAGGGTGTGATGGGAGACCTCAGTTTTCTGGGAAGATGGCACTGCTAATGCCCATTCCCAGGCTGGTTCAGATTTAGATTGATGATGTCTGGCATTTGCAGGAGCGCTATCAGTGGTGGAGACTGGAACCCCTGGGGTGTGGCCCAGAGCCTTCCCAGCTGTCTTTTGGTAGTGGTTCAGTTAGTGAATTAAGATACATCGACCTGTGTTCCAGCTCTAGCCCACCAGCTTTCCTGCCCCTGTGGGTTGTCTCTGTTTCTGGCTATCATTTGGAAGCTAAGAGGACCTGTGGGAGCCTCCAGCCTTGGGCCCCTTTGGCCTGTCCTGACCGTAGTTCCCAGCTCCCAGGTGTCCCGACTGTGGCCTCCTGAAGCTACTGCAGCACTGTTTGGACATGTTTGGACGGGTTGTGACAGCAGCCTGATTGTCTTGCCAATGGGTTTCAGCCCTGGCCAAGTTCACTATGGATTCAATGAGACCAAAGAGGTGACAATGGAACGTTC